CTACGATTCATCCAGAAGTAGCTTCTGTTAATGTTGAGGTGTCTTCGCGTCAATGCCTGCATAGGTATTTTTAGTGGGACACCTGCGATTTTGTAACCTACTCTCTTTTAGCTTAATATTTTGCGAGACTTCCCATAACATTAAAGAGCTCCAACAGCATTGTGTTGGTGGCTACGGAAGAGTCTATCACACAGTTCCGTCATAAATTAGAATCCATGAGATCGTGTTAGACATGATTAGTCTAACCACTTAGACTATCGCTGGTGATGGTATGTTGTTTCTTTATTATTATTACAAACGATGTTATGACTGCTGTGATGAACTTCCGTGGAGGTAATTCTTTGCCCTAATATTGCTTCTTTTCTTTGAATGAATACCTGGAAGAAATTGGGCTAAGTCAGCATTTACAGTTTTGTTAAATAGTGCCAAAATTACCTCCACTGAGGTGTTCTCGGTCTACATTCTCACCCGCAGCATATGAGTGTGCCTGTTTCCAACACTCTTGCCAGCATAAATGGTCATCAGACTCCCACCTTGGTCCACCCGAGGGGTTAAAAAGAACAGCATCACCTGACGCCTTATTTTGCCCTTGAAAGTGGTTAAATCAATTGACAGTCACACCAAGCTGTTCCTAAGTGCCTTTTCTCCATAACCATCATCACACTATTTTTTTTAATTGAGACATTGTTAGGCAGACAAGTACAGAAAATAAAAGAATCGAGCACATCTGTATGCAATGTATTCTTAGTAAAACATCTATCCCTTGCTAGACCCCATACCTGGGCATTTAAGCTGTTTTCCAATTTTTCTCCGGTACAAACAATGTTGCATGAAGCTGGGGATGGTCAAATCCTCTGACCTAGCAATCCCATCGGGTCTTGTCCTCCAAAATACATGTGTCCATTTACACTCTCCTCAGCAGGACTTAGTAAATCATCAGATTTTTTTTTTTTTTTTTTTTTACAATTTCACCAATCTGATGAGTGTGAAATATCAGTTCCTCTTTAATTTACATGGCACTGATTAGAGGAGGGAGGAACAGCTTTTGTTACATTTTGAAGCCATTGTGTTGTCTTGGGGTTTGCTGGTCATACATCATTTGGCCTTTTCCATTTGAGCTGCTTATAAACTCTGGGCCAAATCCTTTCTTGGTTACGTGTATGCCAAATATTTTTTCCAAGCCAAAGGTTTGTTTTGTTTTGTTTTGTTTTTACTTTGTTTCTGATGTCTTTAATGTACAAGAGGGATTTTTAAAAAAATATTTCCATGTAGTCAAATTTATTGGTCTTTTCATTTACGGTTTGTGCTTCTGGTGCTGTGTTGAAGAAATCTCTTCCTACCCTGAGAACATAAACACATTCTCCTTCATTTTCTTTCAAAACTTTTCAAGTTGTGCTTTTTCGTAAGCAAGTCTTTAATCCACTTAAATATGGCTTGATGTAGAGATTTAACTTATTTTTTCCATATGGAGACCTGGTTGTTCAGTGCTGCTTGGTAAAATTCCTTATTTGCCCATTGATTTGAAATAGCATCTCTGTTATATACACATTTCCATATGTGCTTCTATATTCTGTCTCTTTCCGGACTACTGTCACTTTCTAATTACTTAAACTATAGTTAAGTCTCGCTATGGTGGTAGAATAAGGAAGCCATCCTACCTTAATCTTCCTCTTCGTAATTGCCCTGGAATTCTTGGTTCTTTGGTCTGCCTTATACAAATTATAATCGACTTGTGAATCTCAATTCTTTTTTGAATTAAAAAAATTTTTTTAATGTTTATTTATTTTTGACAGGGAGAGAGAGAGAGAGAGAGAGAGAGAGAGAGAGAGAGAGAATGAGTGGGGGAGGGGCAGAGGGAGAGGGAGACACAGAATCTGAAACAGGCTCCTAGCTCCAAGCGGTTAACACAGAGCCCAACGCAGGGCTTGAACTCACGGACAGTGAGATCATGACCTGAGCCAAAGTGGCTGATTGAGCCACCCACACACCCCCTCTTTTGAATTTTAAAAGGAACACATTCAAATTATGTACTGCAGAAAAATGACATCTTTAGAAAGCAACTCTACAAATCCATCAATATTGTTTATCTTTCTGTTTATTTAGGTCTTTAAGAATTTTTTAAATTTCATGCATACAAGTCTTCTCCATTTTTTGGTAGATTTATTCCTAGGTACCTTTATATTTTTGGTCACTATTTTCTAAACTAAAACTTTTTTTAATTGCTCATTACAAGTGAATAAAAACTTACTTTTGTACAGCCAGCAATCTTGTTGAACTTTCTGGTTACTGTTTACAATCTGTTCTTAGATTCCGCATGAAGACACTTTTTCTGGTCGCGAATTATTTAGAGGTTTTTTTTTTCCTCCCCAAATCCCAAGTATGTAGTTTGGTTTTAATTGTTGCTACTGATGTCTAGCAGTCGAGTATGCTCAAGACTGTGGTCTGTATGATTCTTGGAAGCCTCTCAACAAATTTTTGTGGCCTAATATGTGGGCTTTTGGTAAATGTGTCATATGTTCTTGGAAATAATGTGCATTCTCCCTGTGGGTCTCTTTAATCAAGCTTGCTCGTTGTGTGATGGGTCTATCTATATCCATCCTCATTTTTTGTCATCTTAACTTATCAGTTATTGAAAGAGGTGTGTTACAATCCGCCTGTGATGATGAAATTGTTCATTTGTTGTTCTTTTTGCCTCATATAATAACTTGATGCTGTTTTAGGTGACGGCAAGTTATAATTATTTCTTCTCAGTGGATGGTTCCTTTTTAGCTTTATTTAGTGACGTTTTTACCCCTAATATCCCTTTTTTGTTTCAAAGAATTTGCCTCCTCTTATTAGAACCAAACCACTTTCTTTGGGCTGGTATCATGCTGGTATTTTTTTATACTTTTAAGTTCAATATTTCTTTGTCTTTACGTTCTTAATGTCTTTCTTAACGCATATAATTAGATGTTTCTAATCCAGTACAACTGACAATCTGCCTTTCTATTTGAGAGTGTAATTTTAGTTTTTTCTGAATTCTGCTATATTTGAATTTAGTTCAATCATCTTGTTTCATGCTTTAGACTTAACCTGCTTTCCATCTGATTCTTTTTTTCTTGGTTGCATATATTTAACATTGACCAAATTTCTTGTAAATGAAGTCTAAAGTTAACCAATACTGCCACACTTCTCCCCCAAATGCCTAAATGCCCGACCTCTGCCCGTTCACTGCCTGTGACCGGTACCTTCATTCCATCCTGTTTTTCAACGCCCCAGTCTTTTTTATATATTAAATATTCGTTCAGATCTGATATCCTACATCTCACTGCTGCTTTTTAGAGTCATTTTCTTCTGAAGTATATTCTTGAGCAATTCTTGTCCTCCGCTTCTGTTGCAACTTTCTGGGCAATCTGATACTCATTCCTTTGTAGGCAAGGGTTCTTTCATCTACAAATGCGTCTAAAATCTTCCCTTCCTATTTGGTGGTGTTCTCATTATACAATGTTGTATGTACTCGAGAATGTGGCATTATTCAACCTACTAGGTTTGCGGCTTTCATTAGTTCTGGAAAGTTCTCTGTTACTCTCTTGGAATATTGCCTGACTCCCATTTGCTCTATTTCCTTCTGGAACAGGTGATAAGTGTGTCCTAGCCCCTCCCATTACCCATCCACCCCACCCCCGAACCCTTCCCCCCACCCCCCACAGTAAGCTCCTCCCCCACATGCTGCCCGCCCGCGTTTCTCCGTGCAGACCTCTGACTCTTCTTCAAATCGATCTTCCCACCTGCTAGTTATTTATTCAGTGATATGTAATCATCAGTTTAACATATTAAGTTTTAACTTATAATTTTTTAAAAACTTCTGAAGTTAGAGTTGATTTCTGATTTAACTCTAGTCTGGTCTTCTTTGATGGTGTCTTATCCTTTTTTGTCTGTTCTCTTACTTCTTTTGTGCCTCTCATGATTTTAGACATGTTTATTTTATAATCTACCTGATAATTGTATTATCCGAAGTTCTTTCATATTGGTATCTGTTTTGGAGAGCCGACTCTTGATTTTGTATGGATTTTTTTTTTCCATACGTTTTGTGATTTTTAGCGGTAAATCAGTCTCTAGTCGAGACTTCACACAGGGGAATGCCAGAGGGTCTGGGAGGAAGGTGAGGACTCCTAGAGAGATTTTATGTTTGTTTTAACCAGGTGCCCTAAAGGTGCTACCAGCTATGACAGCATTTTATGTTAATTTTTTTTATTTTATTTTTTACTTTTTTACATGTGCATCCAAATTAGTTAGTATATAGTGCAACAATGATTTCAAGTTTTATGTGAATTTTTTTAAGTTTATTTATTTATTTTGAGAGAGAGCATGTTTGTGTGAGCAAGAAAGGGGCAGAGAGAGGGAGAGAGAGAATCCCAAGCAGGCTCCATGCTGTTAGCGCACAGCCCGAGGTGGGACTCAATCCCAGGAACGGTGAGATCATGACCTGAGCCGAAACCAAGAGTCAGCTGCTTAACTGGCTGAGCCACCCAGGCACCCCAGAATTTTATATTAATTTTTTGGTGGGGTGTGTGCTAGACCATTCTACTAGTATGATAACTTTAAATATCATATTCCCGTGAGGACACCTCTATGACTATGAATTTTAAGGAGAGGCTTTTGTTTGAAAAACAAAAAACAAAAGCTACAAGCTTCCTTGTCATTTTGCTGTATGAGTGGACAGTTATTTTCAGTTCATCCTTATTTTGGGGGTGGGGGGGTCTCAGGATTAACTTTCTTACTCTCCTAGGGCCCGGGGGCCTCTTGTGTGCCTGGTGGTCGTTAGAGCCTAAGCTCCTTGACTAGACAGCCAATTCCCAAGTCTGGACAACTGATCTTCCCCACCTGCACCCCCCCTTGTCCTCCACCCCGCACCCCTGCCCCCGAGTCAGCTCATGGGAGTTCATAGCTTTCTTCGTTCTGACCCTCCAGCTTGCCTTTGCTCTCTCGTGGGTAGTTAGACGTCAGCGAGACTTTACTCCTAGGTTCTAGAAATTTGCAAAAGAAATTTTTAATTACACAGAAACCCATATTGCTGAAACCAGAAGTACCCGATCTATCATTTAATAGTCGACAGATGTGACTGCCCAGCGACCACCTCTCAACCCACTGGAGAACCCAAGTATACTTCCTCACTTCCTCTTCCTCCTCTTCTAAACAGCCCCCCTCACACTGAGGTATGAACACATTTCTGAGAAGGCCGTTCCTTCTGCAACGTTCTCGGGCTAACTACCGGCCGCGTCGCGATTAAAACCTGGCGTGTCCCCCAGCGAGTCTCTGAAGTGACACGGATGTGGGAAAAGCCACCTCTCCAAGCGCCAGCTTGGGGTCTTCTCTGAACCAGCGGGAGGAGTTCCCAAGCGGGTTGAGCTCCACTCTGACTGGAAGGAGAAACGAACAGTGAATGCAACGTGCTTCCTGTCGCCCTGAAACCCCCGGCTGCCACCCGGACGTCCTTCTGTTCTGTACTTTCAAAAAGAGAAGACCCCTAGATCACTAGAAAACGCTGTGGTTACACACGCTCGCTGTCCTTGGCAGACATCTGTTAACCTTGGGCGAAGACGCGGAAGATAACCAGTGCCCTTGTCACTCCTGCGGACCCTCAGGCCCTCCTTTATTATTAGGGCTTACGTCAGGGGATTCTGTCCCAACTACCCTGTTATTTTACTTTTCTCAGAGAGCATGCCAGGAAAAGCACGTCACACCTCTGGGGCTCCGACATTTGAGAACCTCTTCGGGGACTGGAGACTGGGAGGAGAAAGTTCTGGAAGGTTCCATCAGGTCTTCTCACCTACCGCTCCCAGGGCAGGGATCCCGGGAGTGGGGAAGGGCCTGGAGAGGAGGAAATTTGAGTTCCCTGCTGAACATTTACTAAGCAGGATGGAAGTTGTGCATATGAAAGATTGTTCTCGAGAGGCTCACGCGGGAGGACACTGCCTCTCCAGGTGGACCTTGCTTTGTCTCTCGATTCTACACGATTTCTCTCTGGAAGTCTGAGGCTGGCAGGGTGTGGCGTAAGGGGGTCGAGGGCAGCTCTACAGGGAGGGCAGGAGCCAGCGAGGAGTGCATCAGGAAACCAGAGATGGGATAAGGAGAAAAGGGAAATGAGAGGAAGGCTTGCCCTTTAAGGAAAAGGCCTGCGGGAGGGGCCAGGGAACACTTTGGGGGATGGCCTTCAGGCACGTGTCAAATGCTGAGCACATCACAAATTTGCAAAAGATGCCTGGAGACTGACCACCATTAGCTCTTCCGGTGCCTGCTGCTGGTTGATGGGGGGCAAAACCCCGGCTTCATACCCTGTGCACCCATCTGTCTCTCTAGTCTCTCACCCTCGGGTTGTCAGACCTGGTAGATGAGGAAGCCCTACAAAAAGGGAAGACGGGGTTCCCCGTTGCCCCAAGGGTGCCTTCCGAACCTCCTTTCCAGGGAAGGGTTGTCGAGAGAAAAGAATACACTGGAAAGAATTCTGCCAATAAACTTACCACAGCAGCTACCAATTGTTGAGCCCTAGCAAGAGTCAGGGTCAAGAGTCCTCTTCTGAACCCGAGCCCCCAAGGCCGCCCCATGTGGAGAGCTCCTTGCTGCTGGCCCGACGTCCCTCCCACAGTCCTTCCCTCAAGCCGAAAGGACCTTCGCGCTCACCCTCCATGACTCATGCTTCTCCCAACACGGGCACCTGTGCCCTTCTCCCCACTACTGGGTGGGGGGATTGGTTTAAGAACCACAGAGAGGCTGAGAGGGAAGCCCGAAGGGTGGCTATGTAAATTATATCTCTCAATAAAATTCCCCCATTAGGTTTTTCCCTTTGGGCTACTTCTTAGTCACCCTGTACTTTCCAGCTGTGTGTTCATTTGTTCACTTCATGAACAAAACCAACAGAAGTAGCTCATATTCCTGTACTTTCCTGGCTTTCTTTTTTATCCCCCTCTGGGCAACTAGAAGCATCTGGAAGACACTGCTGTTCCTGCTCCATGAGGGAGGAAAGAGGCAGGTGACATGATCCCCGTGTCGACCAGGCGGAAGAAGCCATACCACCCAAACCAAGTTGCAAACAAACAAAACCACAGAGACGCTGGCCTCAGGCTTGATTTGAGGCACTTCGGGGAGGAAAGCACACAACAGTCCTCCAAGGGCACATGAAGAAAATCTTCTGTAGGATGAGTTCCTCGTGTTATAGTATCACCTATGCTGGAGTGCCCTGTTCACATGCTCCTACGTCCTAGGTCTTTGGGCCAGCTCATCCCTCCTTCTAAAACCTTCTTGCCCTGAACCGTAACCCAACTTTCTCCTTCATTTCGTCCAAGCCTATTCACATGTCACCTTTCCAGAAGAGTCCTTCTTGACCACCCTATACAAATAGAGCCACCTGCTGGACCCTACTTTGTTTTCCTCTAAGTATGTCTCACAATCTGACATTACCTCACATGTTCGTTTGCTTTTTAGATTTTGTCTCCTCCTCTGGAATTTAAGGATGTGTGTTATTAACTTCTTTTAGTCTCAGATGCTGGAATAGCATGAGACATGTATACCGTAGGTGCTCAATCAGTGTTTGCCGAATGGATGAAGAAGTGAATAAAGATGTGCTGGAGAGGGATATTGTGGCAAGTTGTGTCATCAGCTTCAACCTTCATCCCTTCTTAAGAAGTTTCTGCGCTGTGGGAGTTCAGGTCAACTGCAGAGTTAGGGAACAGCTCACACAAGATGGCTGCCCTCACCTCTGACACCAATTCAACTTCAAGGGGGTTTCCCAAAACCACCCTCACTCAGTTCTGATAATTCACTAGAAGGACTTACAGAACTCACTGGTAACCTTTACACTCAGCGATGGTTTATTCCAGGGAAAAGATGTAGATTAAAATCAGGAAGAGGTTCGGGGCAAAGTCTGGGAGGCGTCCAAACGTAGAGCTTGTAGGCATCCTCTCCCTGTGTGCTCATGGACAGCATCGCCCCCTCCCGGCCATGGTGTGTGACCATATGGGTGGGATGTTACCATCCAGGGAAGCCCACCCAAGCCTCAGTGTCCAGAGGTTTTACTGGGTCCTATCACATGCTACCTGCATGGCTCCAGAGGCAGCACTGCCACCACTACCCCACCACAAGTGACCATCATAAATCACACTGTTAAACTATCCAGTGGCCAAAGCCCCCAGGCTAACAGGGATAATCCTACCAAGCAGAGCCTTCCAAGGACCTAGTGACCACTTTCCAACAGCCAAAGGCAAAAGCCAGACCTCTTTAGGAGTGAGATTAACAGCTCACCATACAAATGCCTTGCAACTTTGCCGTACCCTTGAACAGTGGGCAGGAATACTCCTCCACCTCTTGACCTTGATTTTGGTCACATGACCTTGTTGGCCAGTAGAATGAGGCAGAAATCAGAGTGTGCCAATTTCACTCTCTCTCTCTCTCTCTCTCGTACCTCTGCTGTCACCATAAGAAGAACATGGCCAGGCTAACCCACTAGTCCCAGGAAGATGAGAAATGTGGAACAGAGCCACTCCCCCCTTCCCTTCCAGCTGAGCCCAGCCTGGAACAGCTGACCTTCATCCACTGAGCAGACCACTTGAACAAAGGAAATGCCATCTGTGATTGGTTTTTAAGCAATATTATCATGGACACAGTTAGCTGATAAAGTTATCAATCTAGTGGGAACCATTAATACTGTTCTGGGGGGTTGCTGATCCAATTAGAGCTTTTTGTATTGTCACTGAAACAGGGTGGCTTGTGGAAATGGGCACAGGTTGACAAGGTTTGTAGGGAAACAGGTGAGGAGGTAGAACACTTAGAAGATCCAGACCAGATGGGGCACCTGGGTGGCTCAGTAGGTCAAGCATCCAACTCTTGATTGAGGCTCATGTTGTAATCTCACGGTCTGTGAGATCGAGCCCCACATCAGGCTCTGTGCTGACAGCATGGAGTCTGCTTGGGATTCTCTCTTTCCCTCTCTTTCTGTCCCTCCCCCATGCATCCACTCGCTCTCTCTCTCTCTCTCAAAATAAATAAATAAACTCAAAAAAAATTAAAAGAAGACCCACAGCAGAGACTGCAAACACCTACAGGACCGGCAAGGTAAATGTCAGTGAATAAAAAGAGCCAGTTGCCTGACTATAAATTTGAACTATGTGAGAATGGAGGCAATAGGGAATAGTGGGGACTGCAGTAAACAGAACAGCAGCAGCCCATCTAAAAGGAGCAGCCACTACTCAGTTCCAGTCAATTGCTGCTAATCCGAAATTAACCCAGGCTTGCCAAATCTTTCATTCTTTCAGATGGGGTGTGTGTGTGTGTGGCTAAGAATTTAGATATTTATGAAATCTCATAAATGCTGCAAATGACAGATTTTTGTCCAAACACCATGCAAGATGAACCGAATGCATCTGTCACCATGCCATGTCTCCTTTATGTCACGGAGTCCGACATCTGGTGGCAGTGGGCTTGTCTGGGACCTTACAGAGAGGGTCCTTGAGAGCCTGGGATTTCAGTGGAGAGAGGAAAAAATCACGCTAAGAGGAGAGAGGACATAACAACTGGATGTCAAAGACAAAGTTCCCCATGGCCATGTGGCCCAGGGCCGTTCCCGTCACAGCTTGATTGGCGTTCCTCAAATGTTACAGAATGACTCATTAGCATTTTTCTTCTTTGGGGGTATATCACGTAAGCACCAGACAAGGCACAAAGCATGTGTCTGAGTCCTTTGCTTACATAACCCCCTATGATGCTGGACAACATTCAGTAGCTCCCAGCTACCCAGGCGGCAGCCCGACAGGAATGTTCTCGGCCGGGGCGAGGGGGCAAGACGGGAGACGCTCACGGGGCCCACGCGAGCTCACCCTCCACTGGGCATCGCTGCAAACACTGAGCGACTCTCATGCCTCTGTGTCTGCAGAATTCTGCTATTCCAAACAGAGAGCAAGAGGTGGGCTCCCCGCGTGGTGTGACTGACAACCATGAACGTCAGCACCTGCTCTTTCTCCTGGAACTTAGCTGTAGACCCAGCAGAGCGATCAGTAGGTCCTGGGACTGCCTTTCAGGTGTTTATCGTCTAATCCCGGGTCCTGGCGTCGCCTTCCCTCTGCTCTACATGTGCAAGGATCATTATCCCACAGACAACTCATTTGTAAGATGATGGTATTTGTTCAGTGCCAGATGTTGCTTGCTTTCCCTCATTTCCTTGCTGTTCGGAGCCCTGGGGATGCTTGCACAAATGATGGTTCTGTGGAAGGCCAGGAAAAGTCTCCCCCACCGGAACAGACCTGGGAGCAGCCACCAGAAGAAAAGCTGCAATGTCAGATTGTAACGGCAGCCAAGGTGTTCGTGCGCAAAAGCATCTAAGCTTTCTTAAGGCTCTTACGTTCAAGAACATATAACAACAGAGCCACAGGAAGCACACTGTGGACTAGGAAGGGAAAAGAAAGTTCCACTTCTACTAAGTGGTACTCACCACACGCACGCATACATCACACCATTTAATCCTTACAATGACTCCCAGAGGTTGTATTACAACGTCTGCTTCCCTGCAGGAGAGAAATGATGCCCCGCTAAGCCTGACGCGAAAGACCATTGTTAGATACGGTAATCCTATGTCTGGAACGTTGCAAATTTTGAATACTCCTCCTGTTCCCCGGCTGGGGCTCCAGAATCTGCGCAGACTCTGTTGTTTGGTCAGTAAGGAGGCCCCCCCATGGCCCATGGTTCTTTCGTGCCCTATAAAACTTATTCCATAACTGCCCTCTAGACAACTCAAGTGAGCAGCAAGCCGAAAGAAAAGCGATCAGGGACACCTGGGTGGCTCAGTGGCTTAAGCGTCCGACTTCCGCTCAGGTCATGATCTCGCGGTTCGTGGGTTGGAGCCCTGCATCAGGCTCTGTGCTGATGGCTCAGAGCCTGGGGCCTGCCGCAGATTCCGTGTCTCCCTTTCTCTCTGCCCCTCCCCCCCCCCACATGCTCTGTCTCTCTCTCAAAAGTAAATTTAAAATAATTAAAAAGGAAAGAAAGAAAGAAAGAAAGAAAGGAAGAAAAAAAAGGGATCATTCACATTTGTCTGTGGTCACTGATTTAATAGAGATGCAGAGCAGCTACAGAGGGGACTCCTCTGGAGCACAAACAGGTAGCCCGCCTGAGTGCAGAGTACTGTGGCATCCCTAAATCACAGGCTATCTTTCTTGTATCTCGTATCTCGTATCTCGTATCTCGTATCGCAGATGATGG